AAATGGCAGCATCGATGGACTCAAGTGTGGCAACAGTAGTGAGGTTGGCCCAGGATTGGGCAGTGTTTCATTCTGCTGCGCATAAGGTCGTTATGAGTTGGTATTGACTCAACGGCACCTAACAACAACAACCTAACAGCATAATGACTAGTAAATTTGTTTGAATTAATGATCTACCCATTTGCCAGTTGAAACTCAGATTCTCGTATTTTAACATTTTTTGTTGGTGAATCTTAAATAGATCTCAGCTCCTTGATTATTTATTTATTTATTTATTGCCAATGTATTATATCTAAAAGATAGTGTTGCTAATTAACATTTTTTAGGCTTGAGTGACTGGGTTGATGGTGGTAGAGGAGCAATGGGTGAGGGCATGGGAGATGGACATTAAAAGGATTATGATTAGAGGCCTATTTGAAACCAAAAGACATTTGAGACTTCATGTTCCCAGACTCACATGCAGGGAAGGAGAGTGATCCCCTTATCCAATGGCCCACTCTTGTAAGATCTACAGTACACACAAAGATTTGATCTGTCCTCTCTCCTTATGACAGTCATTTCCAGATGACTAGTCCAGAAACTGAAGACCAGTGCAAAAGGACAGAAAGATGTTTATAAACTAGAGTTATAAGCTCCTTATATGGATAATGAATTCTGTGTAATGGAATGATAGAATTTTGCAAGACCAATGACTTATTCATTACAAATACCTTTTTTTAACAACATAAAAGGCAACTATACACATGGACCTTACCAGATAGCATACACAGCAATCAAATTAACTACATCTGTGGGGAGAGATGGTGGAAATGATCAATATAATCAGCAAAACAAGCCCAATGTAGATTGTGGAACAACATGCTCATATGCAAGTTCAGGCTGAAACTGAAGAAAATGCAAACAAGTCCATGAGAGCCAAAATATGACCTTCCATATACTTAATTGAGAGATAACCTCAAGAACAGATTTGATACGTTACACATTTTTTTTTTCCTATGAGTTGTTTTTTTTTTTAATTAAATGTTTTTATTTTGGATTGAATGAAAGTTTACAGGGCACATCATCAGCTTCACATTCAACCATTCATATAGCTTGTTTCATTACATTGATTATTATCCCCTCCATATATCATCAGTTAACAGTGTTTCTCTCTATCCTCTTTAGCTTTTTTTTTTTTTTTTTTTTTTGGATGGGGGGGACTTGCCTTTTTGGAATTTACAGTCTCGGCTTTTAGGGAAGGTTTTTACATTTGTCTGTGGATATCCAGGGCTCATGTATGAGATTACTAACCAGCATTACTGAATAATCAGATGAGGGACAGTTTGCTATGTCTACAGGTAGCTAAAGTCTGATCCTCAGAGCCTATGGTTTATACGTTACACATTAATGAACAAAGACAGGAAGAGTTCAGGGATGACATCAAGAATATCGTACGTGAAGTAAGCAAAAGGTTATTAAAAAGAAGGAAAAGTCAAAAATGGAAGTCAGAAGAGACTCTGAAGATTGCTATTAAGTATAGAGACGCTAGAGTGAATGGAAGAAAGAGGAAATAAAAGAGTCAAACAGAAAATTTCTAAGGGTAGCCAGAGAAGACAAAATAAAATATTATAATGGAATATGCAAAGACCTGGAATTAGATAACCAAAATGGAAGGGCATGTTCAAAATGTCTCACGCTGAAAGAACTGAAGAAAAAATTCAAGCCTCAACATGTAATATTGAAGGATTCTATGGGTAAAATATTGACACAGAAAGTATGAAAAGAAGATGGAAGGAATACAAGAATCACTGTACCAAAAAGTAATCATCAGTGTTCAATCATTTCAAGAAGTAACATATAATCAAGAACTGATGAAATGAACTAAAGGAAGAAGTTCAAGCTGCAATGAAGGCATTGGTAAAAAAAACAAGACTCCAGGAATTGATGGAACACAAATTGAAATCTTTCAATAAGCTGATGCCGCTCTGGAGGTGCCAAGAAATTAGGAAGACAGCTACCAGGTCAACTGATTGGAAGAGATTCATATATGTACCCATTCCAAAGAAGGTGACCTAACAGAATACAAAAAATAATTGAACAATGTACTTAATATCACATGCAAGTAAAATTTTACTGAAGATAATTAGGAAAAGGTTACAACAGTTCATTATCAGAATTCAATTATCAGAAATTCAAGCTGGATGCAGAAGGGGATGTGGAATGAGGGATACCGTTGCTGATATTAGATAGATCTTGGCTAAAAGCAGAGAATATCAGAAAGGTGTCTACTTGTGTTTCATTGACTGTGCAAAGGGTTTTGATTGTGTGGATCATGACACCCTATGTATAACATTGTGAAGAATGGGTATTCCAGAGCACTTAATTGTGCTCATGAGGAATCTGTACATAGACCAAAAGGTAGTCTTTCAAACATCCCCTTACTGAATGGTTTAACATCAGGAAAAGTATGTGCCAAGGTTGTATCCTTTCACCATACTTATGATGAACAAATAATTCAAGAAGCTGGATTGTATGAAGAACATGGCATCAGGATTGGAAGAAGACTCATTAACAATCTGAGATTTGCTTACTGGAAGCCAAGAGGACTTAAAATACTTACTGATGAAGAACAAAGCCTTCAGTATGGATTGTACATTAATGTAAAGAAAACAAAAATCTTTATAACTGGACTAATACATAACATCATGATAAATGGAAAAAGATTGAAGTTGTCAAAGACTTCATTTTGTTTGGATCCACAATCAGCACTCATGGAAGCAGCAGTCAAGAAATCAAATGATCATCAGGCAAATCTGCTGCAAAAGAACTTTTTAAAGTGTTGAAGAGTAAAGATATCAATTTGAGGACTAAGGTGCACCTGACCCAAGGAATGATGTTTTCAACAGCCTCATATGCATGTGAAAGTTGCACAATGAGTCAGGAAGATAGAGTAGAATCCATTCATTTGAGTTATGGTGTTGAAGAAGAATATTGAATGCACCATGGATTGCTAGAAGACCAAAAAAATCTGTCTTGAAAGAAGTGCAACTAGAATGCTCCTTAGAAGCCAAGATGATGAGACTTTGTCTCTCATACTTTAGATTTATTATCAGAAGAGACCAGTCCCTGAGGAAGGACATCATGCTTGGTAAAGTGGAGGATCAGGGAAAAAGAGGAAGACCCCCAAGGAGATGAACTGACAAAGTGGCAGCAGCAATGTACTCAAGCATAACAACGCTTGTTATGAGGAAGGCGCAGAACCGGGCAGTGTTTCATTCTTTTGTGCACAGGATCATTATGAGTTAGAACTGACTCAACAGTACCCAACAACAACAACACATAGACACAAGTGAGCATATGCTATTGGGTTGCCAATAACGTAAGCACAAGAAAATAAGGTATAGCTATACTTTTAAAGACAGCCACTTAAAGAAGAGAATAAGAAAGAAATTATCTAAAGAAGCAAGTAAGTTTTGTATTCTAAATACTTGCTTCAGTATTAATTCTAACCTCGACTTTTCATTCGGATACCCAGTTACTTTTATCATTGTTCAAAACAAACCACTGTCCATGTACTTGTATATCAGATATGGAACAGATCTGTCTCTGAATCTAGAAAGCAAGTGTTAATTCCAGTCTAGATGTTCAAAGATGTTTAGAACTAATATAAAAATACCGAAAATATTGAGCACCCCCTCTTTGCAGTCCTCTGAATCTTCATCAAACTTCTTTGATCTGAAAGAAGACATTATTTTGCCTCACATTCATTTGTCCCATGCTCAGACTGGAACCCCTGCTTGGGATTTAATGCTCTACCATCATTACCTTGAATTTTTTCATTGTCAAAGTTGTCAAAATATCTTTGAACTTGTGTTTTAGGAGTGAAGTTCAATGAAACAACATAGCGAGTGTGGGGGAGATTGGAACCCAAAACTCACATGCATTCCTGCCTCCCACCACCTCTCTGCTGTTTTGTCCTCTTCCCTTCCCACCTAGTGACCCAATGTGGGCCTGGGTATATGCTTGGGGAGGGTAGAGATCAGGCTTAGTCCATGCACTGAATCATGGAACAAGGTTCTGGGTGCCTGTGAGGAAGGGTCAGCACTCAATCAGCAAGTATCTCTCTGCCTGAAGGAAGTAATGTTAAATGTTACTGTGTACGTGAAGTCTATTCCAATATTTAGTGACCCTACAGGACTGCCCCATAGGGTTTCTAAGGCTGAGATCTTTCCAGAAGCAGACTGCCACATCTTTCTCACATGAAGCATCTGGTAGGTTCAAACTGCCCACCTTTCAGTTATAGGCTGAGTTGCTTAACCTCTGTACAAGCAGGGTTCCTTGAATATTAATGAATGAATGCAAATTATGATGGCAAGTCAATGAAAAGCTTTTATCTGCTTTTTTACCAATTGTCCCCCCTTTTCATTTTGCACTGGACACAAGTTATGTAGCTAGTACTGATTAGACATTTTATCTGGCAGTTTCAAAGCAATGTTATTTTAGAATCTTAATAAAGTAGATATAACATATATGAAATAACAAATCTGGTTATACTAAAAGTATTATTTGGTTTCAAGAACTCTCGGTACTAAACAACATCAGATATTTTCAATAGTTTAGCAGGGAGAAAACATGCCTCTAAATTATTCTTCTCAGCTGGGATCATTAACAATAGAAAGTTTGGATCTGTTGTGATTTGAAAATATAATGCATGAAATTGAAAAAGGATGGATTTCATTTTTTAAAACTAAGACAGCCAGGAAAAAACAAAACAAAACAAACAACTCTATATATTTACTAACTTACTATCACATTTTTGTTGTTGTTTAAAAAAAAATTGTGCTACTTCTCTTCATTGTTGGTATTTGCTCATAAATAACTGTATCTGTTTTTCATTATCTATCTGGAACCATATTAAAATGGCCAGGAGGCAAGTGACATGCGAATGAATCAAGAGTAAGTATAGCAGTAGCTTTTTATTCCTCTTTATTTTGTATTGGCTTCATAACTTACTGGCTTACCTTGAGCTTGGCCAAAAGAAGTTCATGATCATGGAGAAGTTTTTTGGTTTCATCTTGACTGCTACCAATTTCTAGAAGATTGGGCTGTGATTCAGCTAACTGAAGTTGTATCCATTTGCCGCTCTAAAAGTGAAAAATAAAGTAAAATGCACTTTTAGTTCCTCTTATTCTTTCTTCTTCATTCTTCTCCTTAAAAAAAAAAAAAAAATCCATGTATCCTATGAACACTGTATTCTTTTCACAGAGATGATCCTTTCTTAAAGTAAACCTAACAGGTCTAATATTCCATGCCCTACCTTTTCTTTTTTTAATTTTTAGGATAAATTCTTCTCTTGTTACAGTGGATTAAAATAAAATCTTTCTAAATGAGGAACATGTGACATGGAGTCAATATTATAGAATATTACAAAATGACAGAGTCACGCTCACAGTGGCGTATTCATATACAGCTCAGAAAATGGAATTCCATAAATACAGCCAGATTCCTCTTAGCTAAGTAATAAGCAAACTACACCATAGGGAGAAGTTTTTGTAAATTCCACTTAAGCTAATTAGTCTCATTACATTTGACCTTTCTCTTTCAACCAGAAAAAAGTAAACACCAGTTGAAGCCATTGATTTTTGTCATAGTTTAAAGATAAAGCATAACATTGTTCAAATTTTACTGTTAAATATTAAATAATGAACAAAACTAAAAATAAAATTAGGTGCACTGCCATTTGAATCCATTCCATTTCTTTTCCACACTCAGGTCATTTTCAGTACTCCAAGATAAAATTAATCATTGCATTTTCTGAGGAACCGCTTTCCTAAGAAGCAACAAGTAAATTAAGCAAGGGGAGCTACTAATAAGCATGTGCATGTGGATGACTGAATTACTCAAGAGAAACTAGAAAAATGTGTTTCTATTCCAGGATATAATGAGTGTTCTTCAAAAGTTTGGAAACAAAAAACCCAGATAGATCAGAGAGAGGCATTCTACTCCCTCTTAGTGGATTTTTCCATGTCCAATAGCTTTGGATTTATTTTATATGGGAGACAGTGAGGTAAGGGGGTGGTGGTAGAAAGAAGAATCATTCTTAGAAACAGAATTCAATGGAAATAAAAGTTTTTACAGTGTCATTTTAAAGTTTTTGTCTTACTTTCAGTGTATCTCTGATTCATCCATCATATATTCTCTAGGCCTGATTCCTCATATTTTCCTCACTACTAAAATCTGAAGTTATTCAAAACATTGTTCAATCACATGCAGATGATCAATTCTTGCTACTTCTGCTTCAAGCTTGTTTTCATCTTAACTCACTGCCTATGAAAATACCAGTAGGAACGGGAGTCAGCAGAGGTTTTGTTTATGTAGGGGTCAAGTTCCGAAAGCAGTGGTAAACTGGTCTCAGAAGGAATACTTTGCATTATGAGTTTCTATAATGAATCGCTTTGCTCGGTGTCAAGCGCAGTGGTCCTGTTAGGAATTTCCATAAAATGCATGACAATTAAGTTAAATTAAACAGGCCTTGATGTCTGTGCTATAACAAAAGGCCAGGAAAAGCCACTTGGTTCAGCCTGGTGGGGTCTGCTTGCTGAGCACCAGCTTGTTTGCAAGGCACCCCGTCATTAAACATTGACTTCCTTGGGTGAAGAACGGTCTAAAACAGCAGTGCAATGCTTCAGGAGTTTTGCAAGGCATTTTTATCAGGAATAAAATCATGATGTCTTCTTCAACCTAAAGACTTGGGGTCATCTTTGCAAAAGGGTAAATTGCTTGACATGCAGTAGCCTTAAGCCCCAGTGGCTTCAACTTCCTGCGAAGAGCAAATCTGACATATGCCCTTTGCACCTCTGCAGGCAGGGTCTTCTTTCCACCACAACAATGGGACAAGGATTTAGTAGTCTGGTTAGTGTTTACCATGTTAAAATCAGGGCTGCCGGAGAGTGCATGGTATCAAAGCACTTTCTCCATCATGCTCAAAACAGTGCCAGCTCCCATCTGATAGTACCTCCCTCCTCCATCACATCCACCTTCCAAGAACTGTATGCCCTTCACAGGTCTCCTTGACTACTCAGTCTGGAATCATGAGTTTTTCATCACAAACATCCCTGTTTTTAAAAGGCAAATTGAAAGGGTTTTTTTTGTTGTTGTTGTTGTTTTTTTAACCAAACTGCTATACATGTCTTCTGACTAACTGAAAGGAAAAGAGAAACTCCGGCTGAAACTTAGTGGAGGTTTGTCTCAGCTGCCGATTTTTTTCAAAGCAATAATATGTACTTGTCGTGGTGTCTTCTAGATGCTGATTGCGTGGACTGTTCTTGAGGGTTTTTCTCACGCAGCAATAAGCCCACAGCCACACAGAAAGAGAAAGTTGTGACTTACCTTTATGACAGCTATAACGATTTTGGACTCCCCAGCTTGCACAGCTACTGAACTGACGGTTGTTGTAGAAAACTCCACACCAGGACTTCCTTGGCTAGTCATGGTCCTTTTGAATCAGAGTCTATTCTGTGAGCAGCTTCTGTACAGATGAGTGTCTGATGGTCATTTCAGAAAGCAATCATCAGGGTTACTTGGATTCATTCAGGGAAAGAGCTCAGCTCACACTGATTACTCTGCCAAAAGGAAAGAACAGGAGGTTAAAAATAGACAACCCCATTGAGTTTATCACCAGCGAGAGGAGAGCATGGGTGAGAATCGACACACCCCTAGTATGGTAACACTAAGCTGCCTGTTATTTTTGCCATTATCTTAAATGTGGAGGACAGCTTTGAGCTTTCTGCCTATCATTTGATGCTTGATAACAAATGGAGAAAAAACACACACGACAAAAACTACTTCCAGACACCCCCAATTGGTTTTGCCATTGAAACTACACATTTGCCACCTTAAATCTTAAATCCAGCAAGTCAGTGACCTGGCTATCAATCTTTTCAAGTTTTTAAAGTTCCTCTCATGCAAAAAAAATGTTACCTAAAAAAAAGCGTCTGGCATTGGTTTGGGGTTTAAATTACAAAATTGCTTCAGATACATTTCTAGATTGATCTGTTTTACTCAACTCTAAATCTGTTTTACTCAAAACTTCATTTGGCAAAAGGCAAATCTCCATTTGCCTTTTGTCAAATTAAGTTTATATGGAATATGCACATTTCCTCAGAGCCTCAGATTTCTTAGGGGATTTAAAAGAAAAAAAAACTTAAATTCTGACTGGCATTTATATATAAATATCCATCATTCTAACATTTCTTTGTTAGCACTGTATATAGTATTAAGAAGCAATTTCAAATTCAGTAATACAGCTACTCATTACAATTCATAGTTGTCGTTCATTGTCAAAAGAAAATTTTTTTTATCTGATGAAAAATTGATATTACTCTTCAGGTTTGGTCTCTACTACCTCCATTCCCCTCCTCCACAGCTAGCTTCAACTCAGAGCCCAAGATGGCAGAGTAAGCCTATTGCTAGAAACTCTCCGTGTGTCACAAGTTGTCTGTGGTATTAAACAGCAGCTGTTGGATTCCCTGTCAAAGAACAGCTGAAAATAACACAGAAGTTTGGGTCAGAGGTCAGATGTAACACATCAGAGACACTGATGCCAAACCTGCTGGAACGTTAGGAAATCTCTAACACAAAGCCAGAATGGAGTTAAATCAACTCATTTACTCTTCAAACCCTTTAGCTCAATTTAAGGGCACCTTTAGGTTCAGGGCTGATGTTTGAAAAACTGAGTCACCACCAAATGCATTGTTTTGCTAAGATTCCCAATAATATTTTTGAGTCCCAGGGGGAAAGTGCTTTTACAAAGATTTCAGTGTTGAACACTGATTTTTGTTTCCCAGAGTACGTCGTGGTTGCTCTGGGGTCACCCAGGCCCTCTACTTTCAGCATCTGCTTGCTGCTCCCAGCACAGTGGAAACCACGCCTCGATCCCAGTTCCTGTTCTCTGTGAACTCCACCTGACACCATTAAAGGAGCAGTTGGAGCAAGCACCAGTGAGCAAACACCAAGGGAGAGCAAACACCTAGGGACCGCCACAGTGTAGAAAAGGTTATAAATGGCTTTGTTTCATGCCAGCAATGGAGAGCTTCTAGAAAGTGGACCCACCTAGGGTGTTAAAAGCAGGCTATATCTGCTTGAGCAAACAGTTGATTTATTAAAAGACCAAACAAACCAAAAGAAATGGATTGCAACCAGTCTTCAGCTAATTAATTGTTCTGAAGAAAGAGCAAGAGTTGACAGCTTTGCCACAGAATATCCACACCCTCAACAAAAATGTCCAAAGTTGCATTGCTGAAGTCATTGTGTAGTTTGCCAACTAGAAGAGCAAACAGTGGCCTGCACTCAAAGCATTTGGTGCACTTTCACCCGAGGTTAATCCTATTGCTGGAAACTCAGCCTGCGTCACAAGTTGCATAAAGGCCCTCAGGAGGGCAAGGGAAGTTTTGGCAGCAGGCTACAAAGACCACGGGCTAAGAAAAAGAGTGACTATGTCCCCAAAGCCCCAATGAAGACTTAAGATTGCGTAAGGGGTGCAAAGTACAGAATGGAATGTCTGGAGTAGCAGGCCCAGAGAGGAGTCAAAAGGAGACAAGGAATGAGGAGAAGGGAGAACATAGCTGGGAGACTGATGAATTCCAAGGTTTAAGGGCAAATGGAATTAGAAATATTTAACACTTTACTAAGAGTTTATTTCAGCATTTCAACAACAAAGACAATGCAACTGTTTTGTGAATAGATGACTTTTCTTTCTGTTAATTAGTTGGAGCAGACCCAAGGCGTTGCATAAAGAAAATGGCTTCTACATTGGTGGATATAAGCAATAATACAAACTGTGTATGTGAATTAAAGTGGTTTCTAATTTTTTTAATTCAAATTGTTGGTGTTAAAATCATCAAAAGACCTGAATCATTATTTTCTCCCTTCAATCCATTTTCTCCTTTGACCTTTGTCTAGTGGAAGGTTTTTTCCTCCCTGGCTCTTCAGTCTTTCCCGTTGTTCAGCCCTCTCCATTAACATCCAGCTCATTTAGAACTTTGGCCTGTTTTTCTTTGTCTAGCATAATATTTAATTACAAATTGTACTGTTTAACTTTATCAAGTTGTCTAGCGACTGCTTAGTATAAAATATATTGTACTAAGGAAATCGGCACACTATAATTAGGTAGAATTTTTTTTTTTTTAGCATTAAAATACTAAAGGGCTTTTGAGTTATGGTTTGTTTATACTCTACCTCCTTTATCATCACACACACACACAAAATTACAGGCGTTCTCATATTCTTTGAAGTTTCTAGAGGATCTTGCAGAGGTTATTATGACTTCTCTGTTTATCGCTCTGGGAAATGCCTGTTTTCATACCAGTTGAATTTTAGTGAACAATCCTCCGTGGGGGATCAAAAAGCTGTAACAGGAATTATACTGAGTTGCAAATAGCAATTTTTAATGGAATATAGATAAGATAGTCTTCCGATGGAGTCCTTGTGTCGCACTGTAGGGTAAGTACTGGACCACAAGGTTGGTTTGTACCACAAAGTGGGTGGTTCAAATTCACCAGCCACTCCTTGGAAACAGTATATGAGATTAGTATGAGTTGGAACTGACTCAATGGCACTTAACAGCAATTCTTCTGAAAACCTTATCATGTGATTATTTCTTATATCTACCTGTGGATATGCCACTAAAACAGTGCATTTTCTCAGTTGGAGAATATGTGGGATCTGCTCATTTTATCATACAGAAATCCTGAGTGTTTGTCTTCATCAATACTATTATGGTTAAATTGTATTCAGCTTTATAAAGACAAATTAGATAGATCGGATATAAATAATCTAGAATGAGTCTATTTATCCAAATAAAAAGTCCAGGCAAAGTGTTCTCTGCCATTGTTGTTGTCCACAATCTGGTTACATTACAATATCTGTCCATGTCCATGGTTGATGAAGACACTCAGCATACACATGAAATGATTTTGTTGAATAGACTAGTTACAGTGGATTATGTGGCAAATCAGCCATGACTCTGCCTGTGAAATAACCTACAACATACTTGGGTTTCAAAAAGTTTGTGCAGGATGGACAACAAAACAACTCAAGGAAGAACATAAACAGAAGCATTTGGACATCTGAAAACAAAATTTGGACCAACGCTGGAAGGAAGTTAAACGTTTCTTTAAAACAATTGTTATCGGTGATGAGACCTGGATTCATCACTACGAGCCTGAAAGTGAACAGCAGAGTATGGAATGGAAACATCCTCAATCACCAACCAAGAAAAAGTTCAGAAGTCAACCATCAGCTATAAAATTGATGGTTATAGTTTTCTAGAATTCTCAAGGGCCAATGTTGGAACACCCTCAGGAAAAAGGTTCAACAATCAATGAAGCTCGTTACAGTACATTGCTCACTGAAAAGCTGAAGCCTAAATTTCAGATTAAGTGCAGAGGAGTGCTATCCAAGGGCATTGTGATCTTGTATGACAATACACATTTCCACACCTCTGCTGACACTGTTGACACTCTACAAAACCTTTGTTTTGAGGTGTTAAAGCATCCTCCCTATAGTCCTGATCTTGCTTCAACTTGTTTGGTCCCCTGAAAGCAGCCCTTCGAGGACAAAGATTCACCTCTGATGAAGTGAAGATAACAGTGCATTCATGGCTAGAAGCTCAGTCTAAAACATTTTTTAATAAGGGAATACAAAAGCTTTTGACAGATGGAAAAAGTGTATTGAAAAGCAAGGTGGTGATGTTGAAAAATTATGTATTTGTCTTTTTTAAAAGTTGATTGAAATAAATTATACAGCCAGAGTGCAGATAATATTTGTTATTATTATTAAGTGCTGTTGACTCAGTTCCCACTCATAGAGACCCTGTATAGGGTTTCTGAGGAACAGCTGTTGGGTTTGAACTGCTGACATTGTGGTTCACAGTCCAATGCTATTTCTACCGCCACTCCAGGAGTCCATTAGTAGTAATTGTAATTGTTGTTATTGTTGTTGTTGTTAAGTGCCATCGAGTCAGTTCCAACCCATAAGGACCCTGTATAAGGTTTCCAAGGAGCAACTGTTGAGCTTGAACCATGGACCTTTCGATTCAAACCAACTTTGCAGGTCAGCTCATTAACCCACAACCCCACAGCAGGACTGCATTAGTAGTAATACTACTATTAATAATAGCTACAATTTAATGCTTCCTGGAGTCCCGGTGTGGTACTGTAAGATAAGCATTGGACCATTAGGTTGGTTTGAATCCCAAGGTAAGCATATCAAACTCACCAGCCTCTCCTTGGAAACCCTATAAGTCAGAACCGACTCTACAGCACTTAACAACAACAACAACAAATTTTATGGCAAGAACTGGAATAAGTACTTTATACGCTATCCCACTTAGCTCATATACTAAAGATGAAAGGTTTATTTTGCTGACTTTATTTGTGACACACACACTTACAATAACTCACTGATTCTTGCTTCTCTGCTCCAACCCCTTC